GGCAGATTGTTGCAAGAGTTCACAACTCTCACTCCGAAAATGTTACCCCTCACAGTTTTCTGGGCTTGCGGCTTCTTCAACCCTGAGCTGTGACCCCATGTGGGGCGAGCGTCCGCCAGCTCCAGATAAGGAAACTAGACCGAATAGTGCCCTTCGATATGCTTATACACCTCAATTGGGTCTCCCCTTACCCGTCTATAGTACACTGTATAAGCTAGGCAAGTTCAGACGTTCCAATCTCTCAGGGTAGCTGAGGTGCCCTAGTGCAGGCACCAGTCTAGTGGCCCTCCTTTGGACATTTTCAATCAACTGACAGTCCCTAGCATATCTCGTGGACGGGGTGACAGTACTCCAGATGGGGAAGCATTTCACTCTTGAAGATCGCTACGAAGAACTGAACGTCTTGATATCTGAACGACCTTCGTATAAGACCTAATAATTTTGTTGCCTGATTTACCTTCTGTTCTCAATGGCCCGAGAACTTCAGCTCATTGTAAACATACACGCCGAGGTCCTTTTCACATTGTCTCAATTAATGCAGCTTCTTCGTCCCGTTGGGACATATGATACCCCTCCTTAGCAGTCATATCTTCGACTATTCTTGGAGCTCACAGAAATCCTTCTGCAGCTCTTCACAGTCTGCTTGGTTCTTAATTTCCCGAAATAACTTGGCCTCATCGGCAAACATTTTTATGGAAGATTGTACAGCTTCAAGCATGTCCTTTATGAAGCAAACAAACAATACACTGCCCTGTGGTACTCCGCTTGTGACGGGTAAACATGGTGATTTCGTGCCATTAATCATCACACAGTGCTTGCGGTCATGCAGAAAGTCTTCTATCCACGCTAAGACATTTCCCCGAATCCCGTACCCTTCCAGTTTAATTTTCGGCCTTTCGTGGGTACGCTGTCGAAAGCCTTGGTAAAATCTAGGTATATATTGTCGATAATACCACCCTGTTGCAGAATATGGGTCCAAATATTCAATACCTTGAGTAATTGTGTTAAGCAGGAGCACCCCGGCATAAAACCGTGTTTCGTAGTAGATGTTCCATAGTGGCATCTCTTATAATGCTCTCAAGTACTTTACATACTATGCTGGTCAGGCTCACCGGTCTATAGTTGTTCGTGGAGTGACGCTCGCCCTTCTTGAAGATAGGACTCACATAAACCATTTTCCAATCATTGGGGACCTTTTGTTCAGCCAGGCATTTACAAAACAGGATCTTCAGGGGCTCGGCAAGCTCGTTGCACAACTCTCTTCGCACTCTAGGATGCACCGTGTCAGGCCCGGGACTCTTATGGACCTTTAGCTTTGACAGTTTATTTCTTATAACCTCTTCTGTAAACACAATGTGGGTCAGTTCTGTGTCGAACAGTCTGTTGTAGTGGAATTCTCCCCTACAACTGCGTAGCAGCCCACCACCAAGCGTATCCGCATTCCAATGTGCCGCCTCCCCTAGCAACCAAGCGAGAGCTGTCCCCAGATGTTACCGTATCTTAGCAACGAAACTAGTCACCGGCTACTTCTCGGGTTTTCCCAACATGACTCATAGAGGACTGGCGGCTGCTGCCGGGTGTATATAAGCTCTGTCTCTCCATTGAGATTCATTCTGCCCATTTTCCTGAACAAGCAACATCTCCTCCAGCAAGCTCCACGCTGTTAACATTTCATTCAACCAGGAGGCCAGCAACAGGCAACACCTTCTCTAACGAAGCTCCTGCACATCTACCTCCTTCAACACGATACTCCCGAACGTCTTCTACTGAGCTGCTCCCCACCACACGGCATCTCCAGCACCAGACTGTCTATCATATAACTTATATATATTATATAAGAAAACCACATTAGAGTTTCCTTCCATCCTGAGTGCTAGACAACATTAATATCTCGATACCCCTACAATCATCCCTAACCTAATTTAACATAACCTAACTTAACACACGCTTAATCTAGCCTAGCCTAATTTTTTTATGAGAACCAGGTGCAACAGTGTAATGAGTCAAGTGTGAATGATAAGTTGTGGTTGTCGACTGAATTACATTTTCCCTTTGAATAACAACCCATGGCAATGTTGAAGAGTTATATGTACCATCCTTCCAAGGGGGACTGTATTCTGTCATGTTGCTTATTGTTGAACTTTTAAATCTGTTGATCCCACAGACATTAGGAGCATCAATTAACCCCCTCAGTCACAAGTACAGTAGCTCTCTAAGAGCCTCACACATCTCCAAGTTGATATTCACAATATAGCCACAAACAGCCTCTGGTTGGATCAGACTACCCCTGACAGCCTTACATAGTCCTTAAATCCATTATACAGCCACCTATGATCATCACACAGCCCTAATTAGCCAAACAGTCCGCGGCGGCGCATATAAGCCCTGGGCTCACACATTATTACTTATTCAAATGACTTGCAAATGTACTTCATAATTTTCTAAAAGCCACTTGAACATGTAATAATCCAGATATCAAATTTTAACAACAGATCCTGAAGCAGCATGTTCAGGAGTACCTATGCTGAGATTTTGAACAAAATCTTATTTCTTCTTGTGCCCAAAATCATGTGTTGCATAAGACTTTACAATTTTGTCATTGGCTTTTTGGCCAAAAATACTTTTTCTCTCAGAACCAAAAATTTATAATGTGCCTACCTATTTAAGCACATCCAGAATAATACACAAGCACCAAGAAATGACCTTGAAAACCCAAAAATGGCGAAGCAACTAGCATTAAAATAAGTAAAAATTTTCTAAAAGCCATTTGAACAAGCAATAATCCATGTGTCAAATTTTGGTTAACAGTTCCTTAAGTAGCACGCTCAGGAGTACTCTATACTATGATTTTGAACAAAATCAATTTTTGATCTAAATGCCAAAAATTGTAAGGCTTTACCCCTACAGAATTTTTGGCCAATAACATTTTTCTCCCGAGAATAAAAATTTAATGTGCCTAAATACTTAAGTACAAAGTACACCCAGACCAATACACACACCAAGAAGTGACCTTGAAAACCCAAAAATGGCTTAAAGCAATAGCACATGTAAAATAAGTAAAATTTTCTAAAGTTTCATTTGAACAAGCAATAATCCATGTGTCAAATTCTTACAACACATCCTAAGCAGCATGTTCAGGAGTACCTATACTGCGATTTTGAACAAAAATCTATTTTTTGGCCGAAAATGACAAAATTGTAAGTCTTATGCTCATAGTAGTTTTAGGTCAGGGAATAGATTTTGTTCAAAATCTGAGTAAATACTTCCTGAATATGCTGTTAAGGATCTGTTAACCAAAATGCGATATCCGATTATTACTTCTGTTCAAATGGCTTTTAGAAAATTGTAATTACATTTGCAAGTCATTTGAATAAGTAATAATGCAGATATCAAATTTTGCTAACACATCCTTAATCAGCATGTCTAGGAGTACTATACTGTGATTTTGAACAAAAATCTGTTTTGGGATTAAATACTCAAAATTGTAAGGCTTACCTTACAGAATTTTTGGACAAAAAATATTCTTTTTCTCTCAGAACTAAAAATTTAATGTGCATAACTATTTAAGTACATCCAAAATAATACACAAGCACCAAGAAATGACCTCGAAAACCCAAAGTGGCTTAGTAATTAGCATTGCAGAAGTAATTAAAATAAAATTCTAAAATCATTTTGAACAAGCAATAATCCATGTGTCAAATTTTGGTTAACAGATCCTACAGCATGTTCAGAGCACCATACTGCAATTCTTGAACAACAAAATCTATTTGACTAGTAAATGCCATAAATTGTAAGGCTTACCCCTTACAGAATTTTTGTACAAAAAATACTTTTTCCTCACAGAACTAAAATTTAATGTGCCTACCTATTTAAGTACATCCAGAATAATACACAAGCACAAAGAAATTACCTCAAAAACCTAAAAGCAGTAATTAGCATTGCAGAAGTAATTAAAATTTTTGTAAAAATCATTTGAACAAGCAATAATCCATATAAAAAATTATGGTTAACAGATCCTTAAGCAGCACGTTCAGGAGTACCTATACTGTGATTTTGAACAAAATCTATTTTTGGACAAATTTTGGCCAAAAATACGTTTTCTCTCAGAACTAAAATTTACGCTACCTAAATACTTAAGTACACCCAGACTAATACACAAGCAAGAAATGACCTTGAAAACCCAAAATGGCGAGCAACTAGCATTATAAAACAAGTAAACAATTTTAAAAGCCATTTGAACAAGTAATAATCCAGATATCAAATTTTGGTTAACAGTTCCTAAGCAGTATGTTCAGGAGCAACCTATGCTGATATCTTGAACAAAATCTATTTTTTAGCCGGAAATGACAAAAGTTGTAAGTCTTATGCCTTAAAGGATTTTGGCCAAAAATACCTTTTCTCTCGGTGAACTAAAATTTAAAGTGCCTACCTATTTAAGTACATCCAGAATAATACACAAGCAATCTCAAGAAATGACCTCTAAAACCTAAAAGTGGCTTAGTAATTAGCATTGCAAAAGTAATTAAAATGTTCTAAGAGCCATTTGAACAAGTAATAATCCAAATATCAAATTTTGGTTAACAGCTCCTTAAGCAGCATATTCAGGAGTACCTATACTGAGATTTTGAACAAAATCTATTTTTTGGCCGAAAATGTCAAAAATTGTAGTCTTATATACCTTACAGGATTTTTGGCCAAAAAATAAATTTTGTTCAAAATCTCAGTAATAGCAAATTAATACATATACAAATAAAAAAAATAATAACCATAAATAAATACAAAAACGAAAAAATAAATCAAGAGTGAGAAACTAAAACACATTATGTATCTTGTGTTGTCCAAGTAAGAGAAACAATTGAGACCCGTAAATTGTGTGCAAATGAGGCAGAGAGTCAGATAAGCAACCTGGAACTTGGTCACAATTTTCATGATGCCATATGGCAGCAGGGTTCACCGTTAGACAATACATTATGCTTCCAATCTTTCCAGGCGGTAGTACCTCCCTGATTGGTAGCTGCCTATCACCTACTACCTGTACCATCAAAACCATCAAATCATCATCATCATCACCATTGTTCCAATGTTTTATGGTTAAATAAATGTTTAAATAAAACTTATAAAATAGGAGTCATACAAATACTCCATTAAATTCCTTAATATTTTCAATTACAATGAGATATACTGTGACTGTACTACTTTATGGAAAATTCAGACTTTTTATTTATTTATTTTTTTAATTTTGATCTTGTTCACCAACTGCGTAGGATGATTGAACCTTTGAGATTTTATTAACATCATTTCTTGGTGTAGCCTCTGGGAAGAGGCATGTCGAACACGATAGGTCGGTTAACAGGCAGGTAACGATTGTTACACAAGGCAGCGTTTATGAAGAATGTTGTGCACGTGAGTTACACCATATCCTGGAAAAAATAAAAATAAACTTCAATTTTAAAGCATCAAGTCCAATAATGCAAAGAGGTACTGTACAAAGAGTTTCTATTACCATAATGGGTTCCTAAGAAGCTATCTTTTTTCAATACCATAAAGTACTGTACCGTATTGTATGGTAATGTATACACATTAGCTGTAGTACCAAAAGGATTCCTTTCAAGTATGTGCTTTCCCAATACCATAATAATAATCCCCATGAGGTACATTCTTTCCAAATATTGACCCTGCTGCCATAGGCATCACAAAAATTGTGACAAATTCCCAGGTTGCTGATCTGACTTTCTGCCTCATTTACACACAATTGCAGGGTCTCAACTGTTTCTCTTACTTTGACAACAAGATACACATATCGTTTCTCACTATTGATCTTTTTCATTTTTAATTTCTTTATTATCATTATTATTATTATTATTATTTTTATTATTATTATTATTATTATTATTACTATTATTACATTTTCGCCCCCCAGGCCCCGATGTGGGCTAATCCCTGCAAAAAAATAAAAATAAAAGAATTTTACCTAAGTATCAGGCACTTTATTATAACTGCATTGCTATAATGTGGACAATATCTGTGGAGTTCCTTCATTACCCAATTCAAAATTTTACGTTTGTCCAAGGTTCAATACCAAAGTCGTAGCCTGTATGGTTGGCACAAAGTCCTTGTCTGTATGGTTGAGACCGAGTCCTGGTCTGTATGGTTGAGACAAAGCACTAGCCTGTATAGTTAACACAGAGCACTTGTTATGGTTAACTTTTACTTTTATCCTCTTCGCCACTGATTGGCCTGGTTTGCTGATTGGGCGGTCGGTCACGTCTCTGTTACGCACTGTTGGCAAGTACTCGAGATGCACTGGCTACGACAAAGTCCTAGCCTGTATGGTTCAGACATTCCTAGTCTGTATGGTTAAGACAAAGTCCTAGCCAGTATAGTTATGACTATAATGTTTATCTATCAGACCAAAGCATCCAAGCCAGTAGAACAACATAGACATGGCAGTAACTAGGGGAGTAGGCATTCACCCATGTAAGCTGACCCACCCTACAATAACTAAAGTGAGATTAAGACCTGACCCAACAGAGGTCACGGTGTAAGGGAAGAGTTCTTGCCACCAGCCGGCATCATGACCCTGTTAATCTATGGAACTGCCCTTCAGCCAGTACTCTTGACACCTGACCAAACAAGCAGGTCTAGACACACCCAAACTATTGTTAAATAGAGAGGACATTTGCCGGCTTGAGACTCCAATACAAGGCCTACAACTCTTTCCTAGGGTCATAACCGGAAGGGGGCAGCAACACTCCGCCCCCAGTCCCGCTTGTCGCCTCACCAGGTACAGTCAGCCAAAGATGCACCAACCCCACCCTGGGTCTCGTGCTCGCAATTTTACCGGGTAATATTTGGTAAAAGAAGGCTGTATGTAAAGGTGATTGTGATTAGACCTGTTTTTGGCTGTATCACTGTTAGGATAAATATTAAACAAACCAAAGGTAACATTATATATTAATAAATTGTCTATTGTTACTTAAGGTCATGAGAAGTTTCTAAATGTTTGTATATTTGCTTAAATAATGAAGAAAATTATATTCATGAATTGGCATCTCAACTACAACCACAGCTGCCACAAGATTCTCACATAAAATTTTCTTCAATAACATTACAGGTACTTCAAACAACCATATTAATTTTTTAAATTAATTTTACTACAGCTACAATCAGGGTCTTATTTTCTTCAGTTTTATATGTAGAACCAATCACTCACTGGTTTTGTAAGCTTTAACAAAAACAATAGCAACCGCCTCGTCTCCTCGTGTGTTTTAATATTCCACGATTATTAATAAATTGTATTGTTAATTTTGCACACACAAACATTAATTCAATAAAACAAATTCAGAAACATTAATTAAAATATATATGAACAGTAAATAAGTGTTGCTATATTCTTATGTAAAGTAATAACGATATGTTTTCACGATGCTACATATACAGTACATACGATCTCTTTTTACTTTACTATTATCGTTAGCTACTTCTATTGTTACATTTATTAACATTAAATAACATTACTTAAAACAACCATACTAATTTTACTACAGCTACAACCAGGGTCTTATTTCTTCAGTTTTATATGTAGAACCAGTCAGTCACTGGTTTTGTAATCAACGAAACAATGCTGTCTCATTTCCCGTTTAATGTTCTACGATATTAATGAATTGTATTGCTCATTTTGCACACAAACATTAATTCAATCAAAAAGACTCAGTAATAAACAATAATGAATCTTTTGTACATATGAGAAATGACGCTGTTTACCATTGTACATGTCATCTGAACATTGGTGGGCCGTTCAAACCCGTCGAAATTCGAGTTTCCGCCGTCAAAATTTATAAATGTGTTGTATTTTTTGTGTGTTTAAATAGAAAAAGTCGAATTAAAACGAATTTTGAGAAGCTATCATGACATTTAACCCTTCAATATGTCTTCAAAGAGACCATGAAGCAGAGAAAGGAGCTAGTACCTGCCGTAAGCACAAGTCACTATCTATCCAGGAAAAGGGTGAATTTCCATGGTCCGGAAATTTCCATGGTCCGGCACCGGTCAGGTCCCGAGGTTGCCAGACTAGAGAGGTACAACCTGTAGTACCTGTATAAATTTTACTACCTCTTCATATGAGATTAACCACATAATATAACAGAGTACTAACCTGTAAGGTAAAGACAAAGTCCTAGCCTGTATGGTTGAGACAGTCCTAGCCTGTATGGTTGAGACAGTCCTAGCCTGAATGGTTGAGACAAAGTACTAGCCTGTATGGTTGAGACAGTCCTAGCCTGTATGGTTGAGACAAAGTACTAGTCTGTATGGCTGAGACAAAGTCCTAGCCTGTATGGTTGAGACAGTCCTAGCCTGTATGGTTGAGACAGTCCTAGCCTGTATGGTTGAGACAAAGTCCTAGCTCTGTATGGTTGAGACAAAGTCCTAGCCTGTATGGTTGAGACAAAGTCCTAGCCTGTATTGGTTGAGACAAAGTCCTACTGTATGGTTGAGACAAAGTACTAGCCTGTATGGTTGAGACAAGTCCTAGCCTGTATGGTTGAGAGTACTAGCCTGTATGGTTGGAGCAAAGTCCTAGCCTGTATGGTTGAGACAAAGTCCTAGTCTGTATGGTTGAGACAAACCAGCCTGTATGGTTGAGACAAAGTCCTAGTCTGTATGGATGAGACAAAGTCCTACCATGGTTGAGACAAAGCCTAGCCTGTATGGTTGAGACAAAAGTCCTAGTCTTGTATGGTTGAGACAAAGTCCTAGTCTGTATGGTTGAGACAAAGTCCTAGTCTGTAAGTGTGGTGAGACAAAGTCCTAGCCTGTATGGTTGAGACAAAGTCCTAGCCTGTATGGTTGAGACAAAGTCCTAGCCTGTATGGTTGAGACAAAGTCCCAGCCTGTATGGTTGAGAGACAGTCCTAGCCTGTATGGTTGAGACAGTCCTAGTCTGTATGGTTGAGACAAAGTCCTAGCCTGTATGGTTGAGACAAAGTATCTGTATGGCTGAGACAAAGTACTAGCCTGTATGGTTGAGACAAAGTCCTAGCCTGTATGGTTGAGACAAAGTCCTAGCCTGTAAGGGTTGAGACAAAGTCCTAGTCTGTATGGTTGAGACAAAGTCCCTAGCCTGTATGGTTGAGACAAAGTCCTAGCCTGTATGGTTGAGACAAAGTCCTAGCCTGTATGGTTGAGACAAAGTACTAGCCTGTATGGTTGAGACAAAGTCCTAGCCTGTATGGTTGAGACAAAGTACTAGCCTGTATGGTTGAGAGACAAAGTACTAGCCTGTATGGTTGAGACAAACCCTAGCCTGTATGGTTGAGACAAAGTCCTAGCTTGTATGGTTGAGACAAAGTCCTAGCCTGTATGGTTGAGACAAAGTCCTAGTCTGTATGGTTGAGACAAAGTCCTAGCCTGTATGGTTGAGACAAAGTCCTAGCCTGTATGGTTGAGACAAAGTACTAGCCGTATGGTTGAGACAGTCCTAGCCTGTATGGTTGAGACAAAGTACTAGCCTGTATGGTTGAGACAAAATACTACCTGTATTTTGAGACAAAGTACTAGCCTGTATGGTTGAGACAAAGTCCTAGTCTGTATGGTTGAGACAAAGTCCTAGCTCATGGTTGAGACAAAGTCCTAGCTGAGGTTGGAGACAAAGTCCTAGTCTGTATGGTTGAGACAAAGTCCTAGCCTGTATGGTTGAGACAAAGTCCTAGTCTGTATGGTTGAGACAAAAGTACTAGCCTGTATGGTTGAGACAAAGTCCTAGCCTGTATGGTTGAGACAAAGTCCTAGCCTGTGGTTGAGACAAAGTCCTAGTCTGTATGGTTGAGACAAAGTCCTAGCCTGTATGGTTGAGACAAAGTCCTAGTCTGTATGGTTGAGACAAAGCACTAGCCTGCTGTATGGTTGAGACAAAGTACTAGCCTGTATGGTTGAGACAAAGTCCTAGCCTGTATGGTTGAGACAGTCCTAGCCTGTATGTTGAGACAGTCCTAGTCTGTATGGTTGAGATAAAGTCCTAGCCTGTATGGTTGAGACAAAGTACTAGTCTGTATGGCTGAGACAAAGCATAGCCTGTATGGTTGAAGCAAAGTCCAGCCATGGTTGAAAGTCTAGCCTGTATAGTTTGGAGTCTCAGTCTGTATGTTGAGACAAAGTCTGTATGGGAGACAAAGTCCTAGTCTGTAGTTGAGACAAAGTCCTAGCCTGTATGGTTGAGAAGAGTCCTACCTGTATGGTTGAGACAAAGTCCTAGTCTGTATGGTTGAGACAAAGTCCTAGCCTGTATGGTTGAGAAAGTCCCAGCTTGTATGGTTGGAGACAAAAGCACAGCCTGTCATGGTTGAGAGACATCCTAGCCTGTGGATGGTTAGACAAAGTCCTAGTGGTTGAGACAAATCCTAGCCTGTATGGCTGAGACAAAGTCCTAGCCTGTATGGCTGAGACAAAGTCCTAGCCTGTATGGTTGAGACAAAGTCCTAGCCTGTATGGTTGAGACAAAGTCCCATAGCCTGTATGGTTAGAGACAAAGTCCTAGCCTGTATGGCTGAGACAAAGTCCTAGCTGTATGGTTGAGGAGACAAAGTCCTAGCCTGTATGGTTGAGACAAAGTCCTAGCCTGTATGGTTGAGACAAAAGTCCTAGTCTGTATGGTAGAGAAATTTCATGTTAAAGAATATTCTCAGCTAACTTAATTATACTAACAGCTACTAAATCCCATTCTTAACCTACCTGCATCACGTATGCAATATATGGACCAGTCCAATGTAGATGAATAAATATGATGTACTGTATATTATGGAAAATATTAATAGAAATTTTTTAGCCTTATGGCATGTGGGGATTTTTAGAGTCTGTTCTTTAAAGCTACATCCTTACAGTTGTCTGTTACCTGGGAATGGACAAAAAGCTGGTAGACATAGCAAAATAAATCCGACTGTAAAATACAGTTGCTCACCATCTAGCTATACGAGCCTCATCTCTTGACTGATCTAAAATTAATAATACAGTATCAACGGTCTTATATTTTAAGTCCCAGTCATTCTCACGGGTGTATATTGTATGCAAAATAATGATACAAATTACAATATAACCAAGAGATTGAGGTCTTATGAACCAAAACCACAAAAGCAATGAGGGACATCATGTCTGCTTGCTACAATGCAACAGAAATAATAAGCTTCAACAGCTACTTCCAGCTAATCATTTAAATTAATAAAAGTAACAAATTTGTTACAGACACTTCAAACTACCATTATTAATTCATATGTTTCTATATTTGCAGTGTATTATATAACTTAAATGTGTTTTCTTTATCTTACATAACTTTATATTTTTAAAAGAGGACACTAATCTAGGTGACATTTACTTTGTCATCTTTCCAACTTGTCAATTTCCTAACAGATAGGTTGGCTGGTTGGTCAGTTCTCTTTAAGCTAAAAAGAAGTATGAATGCGCCCTTGAATGTATGTCCATATACTTGAATGTGTTCCCATGTTTGTTAAACCTAACTTAAAGGGTCACACTTGTTCTGTTATTGGTAGGTTATTCTAAAACCAAAATTCTAATACCAAAGACAAATAGATTGCCGTCACACATTTGCAAACTTCAAATAAGTACATTTGACTGAGAACAGAAATGCTCTTGTGCTTATGAACTAACAACAAATTGTCCATTGTCTGTGTGTAGAAAACGAGGTACCAGGTAATTGTAAACACTTTAATTTCTTTAAGTGAGATGACTCAGTTTGGATGTTCTTAATCAATTGGCAGTCTTTGGCTTATCTCAAAGACCAAGCAAAATTGCAATACTGTTCAATACTGTATTCTAGTGAGACAGCACCACACTTTTGACAAAAAATGTATGTTGCTCTGTTACCGTAACTCTTTCAAGAGAGTTAAGAATAGGATCAAGTTTTCATGTCATGAATGCAGCATCTGAAGCTTGCTTTTAAAAATAATTAAAAACAAAAATATGCTGAATCTAAAATTCACCTCGTACTTAAAGATACACAGGAGGATCTGACATGCGTTTCTGTAACAAGCATAACAATATATACAAGATGAACATTATGCTATTTGTATGCACTACATGTTAGAAATCTTGCATTCAGAACTCACTAAAATATATATTAAATGGTTGGAACAATACTTTCATTCCAATAAACGATGCTCCAAAATGTGTAGCTATGTGGAGGAGAAAGAATAACAGCAGGATCATACTTAAATTTACTCCTATACAGTACTGAGTGTGATAGTACTGTACTATGCGTATATGTAAAATTCACATAACTGTTTTGTAGTCATTCATCTATACCTGTACTGTAATGTATATAGATTTTGTTCTTTTTTTTTTACCATTTCACCCCTTGAAGTGTGGTTTGTACACTCACCATCGTTGTAGACTATACACAGACTTACCCTCATGAATGTGGCCAAATACATGGTACTTTGGTTTAACCTTGTCTTGTACAATGGCTAGTAACTCCTCGCATCCTCCATGTTGACTCTTTTTTGTAATATCTCCCTGGCCCCAGGGTGGTCCATGTGTTAATAGAATATCTGTATCCTCAGGGATTAGTGACCACTTTTTCCAGCATTGTTCCCCACGAGGCAATTGGAAAGCTGATCTGTAGTGCCGGGGTGTCCTGTGAAAATCAATACATCATTTTGTATTGACTGAATACAAGTATTATTCAAACAAAATAATTTTCTCATACAATTTTCCTCTTGCTTATAGTATCAAAATCATGTTTTTGAGAGGAGTGAGTGGGAACAGACATGAGGGTGGATCAAAAGTATAATGGGAGGAGAGGGTAATGAATATTGTATATGTGAGACAATGAATGGGTACAACTGTTTAAGGAACAACCCATACGAATCCACACAATTGTGAAACAATCACAAACGAGGGTTGAGAATAGGGTTGCCCAGGTCTCCGGTTTTGGGCCGGAGTCTCCGGAAATTAATCTTTATCTTGACAGATTTGGGAAATCTCCGGATTATCACTGACTATTATATTTGTTGTTAGCTCATCATACAATTATATGATATACTAATTTCTTTTCATCAGACTTATAGTAATTAGCATGTTTCCACACTCTATAACAGTAACATCAGTCATACACTTGGATGTTATGGACGAGACCAACAATGTGCCTGTGTGGACAGGTTTGATTCCTGTGCATCCTGAGAACCGGAGCAGGTGTGGGGGGGGTGGGCAGTGTTCCCAAAATAGATACGAAAGTATCCATGTGGATTCTTCTTGACATGAGGCGTACGTTTTCTGACGCTGACCAAAATGATACAAAATGGTATACAGTACAGTACTCCCTCTTTATCGACGGGGGTTACGTTCTGTAGACGGCCGTCGATAAAAACGTCGATACCGTGATGGTTACGTAATTTTTCTAACTATTATTAGCATATGTTGAATAAATGTACCTTTAAGAATTAATCGTTTCCTTTACACATAACCTTAAATAATAGTGTATAAATAATAATATAATAAGTGGACAAAAATACTAGCAAACTTACAATTTCATTTATTGAAGTGAACATCGGTCCTTACAGTAAACAATACAGTGTACAGTATATACAAGTGTGATGATTGAGGCTTATTAAAAAGCCTGACCAGTCAGATGAGTATGATGAGTCAAGGTCTGCATCTTCTTGAGGGGTGTGGGCAGGTACTGCGTCTTGTTGTTGTGAGGTGCAGCCTTCTCGTCTTGTTGTGAGGGTGTGGCAGCTTCTGCCTCCTGTTGCCCACCGCTTGGCTGATGTCTGTGTTCAGGGAAAGGCGGGCGGGTAGACGCTAGTCACGCCACTAGTGCCGCCTAAAGTACAAACAAGGCCGCAGAGTTATCAAAGCCAAAATAAAAATCCGTCTAAATAATCCGTCGATAATCGAAACCGTCGATAAAAAATCCGTCGATAAAGAGGGAGTACTGTACTGTAAATTGCCAAAAATGGATACTTTAACTCTTTTTCTAGAAATTGGATACGTTTTAT